GAGTGGGGAGTGGTTGGGGCTGTAGTGGAAGGAAGGCTTGGTGTAGACGTCTTGGGGGTGCGGAAGAGGACATAGGGGAGGAGAATGCAGTCAAACGGATATTTTCAATCTTTGACACAAAGAAGTCTAGGACCTCTTCGCAGTTGGCATTTGTGGTGAGAATGGAGGCAACTTGGGGAGGGTGCACTGAGAAGGTGATGAATGTAATACCTTTGGGTTGTTTTTGGCCTCTAAAAAGAACATAACTTCCTTGCTCTTATTATACCACATTTATTTTCTGTGAAAACACTACATAAATGCAAGTTATTTTTTACTATTATTAGTCTCACGATTGCAGCCAGAATCCTAATATATATATGCTAACTGTTCAACTGCTCATCTGAATCTACAGATTAAAGACCATTATCAAACTGTACTTTTCTTGAATGACCATGCTTCATAGCTCTGAATGAGAACGCATATAGTTTTAAGTTGGCCTCAGCTTCCGCTCAAATTATAGCTTACAGGTACAGATCTGTAAGATAAAATAGCTCAATGTATCACTGCCAAATGCACTCAATAAACATATCAATTTTATCGGAATTATTGGATCAACAGAAAGGTACAAATGTGGTGGTTTTCCTTTGGTAGCCAGTTGGCTGCCCACTCATCAATTTTGATTGCCTGACAAAAATGATGTTACCTGAGGCATCAGATTGGAAGACAACAACAACAACAAGATTACATTTGTATAGCACCTTTCACGTCGGGAGGACGTCCCAAGGCACTGGACAGTGTACAGCATTTCAGACCCGAGCTGGGGTTGGGGTGTAAGGGAGGGGAGGGGAAGGAGAGTGGCCGATGGCATGGTCGAAGACGAGGGAAGAGCACCAATACCAGTCCTACTCTTAACACTGCCTCACCGGTGGATAAAATATGACAACATTTTGTATTTTCCATGTGGAGATTAGAAAGAACATTCTAAAGTGAGTCCTCTGAAATAAAAATCATAAGCCCATCTGAGGACTTCTTGTGATTCTGTAAAATTCCACTTAGTCTTAGCTTTAATACTATTGTTTTAATACAGTATCTAAGACTGAATAATTTTGCAAAGTTCTTCAATTCACATTACTTAATTTGAAAGCCAGCTTGAATATTGATACTGCCTCCCAAATGCACTGGATTTGTAATTTAAGAATTTTAAGAAATTCTGTGCCATATTCAATTTAAATACAATGCTATGTGACTCAAAAGTGCTCCGAGACTTTATCCTTTGTGAAAGGCACTATATAAATGTTAGTTGTTATTGTTGTTGAGGAAAGACCAGGTAGAATTTCAGGCCTTGGGCTTCTATTGTTGTAACTTTAGTAGACCAATTAATATTTGGTAATTTGTGGTCTTTTTAGTCTGTTATAAATATTGACCTTGGTGTAAAGGTCAGAAAGGCATAGACCAGAGCAGCAAAGTCAGTGTTCAGTATAGAAATTGAATATTTGCAGCAATGCACACAATTTAATTCAAGTAAATTAGCTTGCTGAAGGAAACTTTGTATTCTCGGAGGAAATATACTTTTCGAGTGAATGAAAGATTGAAGAGAAGGACAAGCTTTAGGTATTTTATCTGTCAGGACACCCTTTTGTTTTCCTTTTGGATAACATTTCAGAGGGTCTTGCTGTGAACAGAGATTCGATTCTGGATTCAGTGAATGCTAATGCAGTTCACATGCATCTGAGCTTTCTCTTCCTGTTTCATTAACAAGTGGACTTCCATCAGAATGCTTTAGGAAAAAAGGAATCAGTTTAACTCAGTATCAACTGAACCAGCCAATCTGTTCAGCGTCCCTTGAGTCAGTTGGTCACAGTCATTGCTGTTTCATATTCAAGTCAAGTGAAGAATTGTCCTCTTTTTTCGTATTGAAGAGATACAAGAGACCAAACTAGCTTACAAGGTTTATTCTTGAAGCACTTTCTAAATGAAGATGTCATCTTATTGGATAGTTCAGGCTACATTTTATTCACAAGGAGTAAGAACAAATCAGGACTTATGTATCAATCTTCATTTCTTTTTGATTCCAGCTAATGTAGATAGTATTGTTCGGACTGCTAAATACTTGCAGTAATTCACAGTTGATGCCCTTGATATTGTAATTATTTTGCAGGACAAAGGGTACTGATTTGTTGGTAATCCTGGCTCAGGTTATCACGTTTTCCCATTAACCTGCAACCTAAACTCTTAGTGGGTTATTCTACTCTGTTCACTCACTGCAGTGAATAAGAAATTCCCATTACAGATACACATTGAAATATTTGTTGCACTGAGCAAAGAAAGCAGAAAACCTATTTTTAGATGAATGAATTTAGGATGCTGCACATCAGTATGAAATGTACCTGGATTTGTTGGAATCAGAATGTCCCTAAGCCCTTCAAAACCGTTCTCAATTCTGACATCCATGAAACTAGGATATTTTTCCAGTTTGCAGTTTTCATTGCCAGTTACGACGGTTTGAACAACAATAACTTGCATTGAATAGTGCCCTTCACGCAGGATAATGTCTCGGAGCGCTGCAAATGGCAGGGTTGGACGACGAGGAAGATGGGAGAGGGAGGTGACCATAGGGCAGTTGAGGAGGTAGGTCTTAAGGTGGATAGATAAAGAGGGGGTGAGGTGGAGGGATTGAGGCAGGGAATTTCAGAGATTAGAGGAGTAGAGGCTGAAGACATGATCATTATTGGTGGCAAGGAGGGGTTGGGTGACGTGCAGCAGGCCTTTTTTAGCTGAGCAAAGGGAGCCGGAGGAGGAACCATAGAAATGTAGTAAAGTGGGATACAAGCAAGTCAGAAGTATGGTGGTGGTAGAGGTAAAGGGATTTGCTTGAGGGTAAGGATCTTGAAGTCCATCCTTTCGGAGATGGGAAAAAATGGGTGATGGGAGCGCGAAGTTTGATGTGGGTGATGCACAGGGTAACTGACTGGTAATAGTTGTCTTTTTTCATGATACTGTTCAAAAATAGAAGGGAGTTTCTTCCAGTGTCTTGGCCAGTAATCCTCCAGATTAATTGGTAAATCATCTCATGATTGTTTGTGGGACCTTGTTGCACATGGCTGCTACGTTTGCCTACAAAACAGCCACACTTGGTTATAAATACTGACAAACTGTTTGATGTTTTGATGTGATAAACCACTCTAAAATACATGTTCTGTAACCTAAAGATAGCTTTATTTCCAGTTTGGACATTTAGAGGTAAAAAGATAAATTTGAATATGATCAGTCTTTCTTTATGGAAAGGCGAATGTAAAACAGTGCAAGTGTGTCTGAGGAGCCATCTATAGGTTGTAGGGCATTAGGCCAAGTCAGCTGGAGTAGCTAGAAAGCAGTAATTTCTGCCTTCAGAATAAAGTTGTCAGCTCAAACTGATGAGAGATTAAAAAAAAATGAGAAGAGGTGCCAAACTCCAAATTAACATTCTTCAAGCATACTTACGGAATTTCTTCTCATAATGCAATTAAAATTGGTGCACTTAGTAAAGATGATGATCTATAGAGTATCAGTATGATTTGGCTGATGAAACTGTTCTAATAAATTATTGCCCTTTATCAAGTTGGTGATTTGTGAGGGAAATGACAAAGCTTGTTTTTATTAGGGTAATTTTAGTTTGCCTCCCTCCCTCCCCCACATATTTGATACTCATTTGGAAGGGCATGATGGCACAGGCCACTGACACTTTCAGTACTGTATTTAGTGTGCTTCCTTGACTGACTTGTCAGGATGAATGTTGAGGCAGGCAAAACGTATCCCAGGGGGTGCTACATTTATTTTTAAATACAGATTGTGAATCTGACTAAGTGGTTTGTATGTGTGAATCTGGGTTTTTTTGATATCAAGAATTATGTCAGACATTGTGTTTTTATTTTATCTTTTTGTTTAGGTTTGCACGTGATGTAAAGTACAACAAAAACCTCTATACGATCTTTGGATTTTAGAAAAATGAAACACTGTGAGTGATCTTGGCACAGTGTTTAATGTTTAGTGGTGAATTATTTGCAGTATAAATAGAGGCTGAAATAGCTCAGATCGTCCTGGAGCCCTTTTCCTGACGCCACCAGGAGGAGGTGGTTTCAGAAACAGTGAAATTCACACCCACACAGTATAAACATGGTGGGTGTGAATCACACTGGGCTGACTCTCACGTGGTCCACTCAAAGCTCTCTAGAGGTCCAAAAACACTCCGGGAACATTTAATCTCAATGCAATTCTTGCTATCTCATTCTCCATGTTTGGTGGCAAATTCCTCCCAAAATTACTGTAATTTGCCACAAAACATTTTGGAAAGTATTATTAAGTGTTGAGGCTTTTATGGCTTTATTTAGTTTGAAATGAAAATGAAAGGATTTGGGGTTTGAATAAATTGTAAACTATTTTATTAAATTCCTCTCAAAACAATCTTACTGCTTACACATAATGATTCTTTGTGTACCGCAACACTGACTTCTTAGACTTATGGATTGATTTAGATCACTGCAGTAAAGTATTTTAAACTAAATGTAATCAAATATCAAAATATTATCAAAATATCAAAAAAAACAAAAAAGAAATTCATTATAAGGGCTCTATTAAAGTAAGCGCTCCGAGACCCAACCCCATGTGAAAGGTGCTATATAAATGCAAGTAGTCATTGTTGTAGCATTTGTAATGTGTATGTTCAGACACATATGGGGATCTCAATACTTTAAATCAGATAGTGCAATTTACTGTGGGCTAGACCCAATCTGTTTCAAGATTGTTTCATGCTGATACAAGTAGAATCGTGTTTTATTCTCCCAACACAATCAATCTCATTACCAAATGAAATTCTGACATTTGGTCATGAGAGCGATTGGCAAGTTGCTCTTTCCGGTCTTATTGTAGAAATGTCCTAATGAAAATTCTCTTGTCCCCCCTCCACTTCAATTATATAAAACTAGCCCTGTGCTCATTCTTTGTTTGAGTGCTGTAATCACTACTGTTTGTCTTGTCTTTGCCAGAGGAGAATCTGTGCCAAGGTGAAGCCTCTGCAGAAGAAGAGTTCCAAGATGGACACATCCCTGAGCAGTTTGCTGGTTTACTGCATGGCTCATCCCCAGCTTGTGAATTCCCAGAGGATCCATATCATCTGTACACTAAAGCAAATAAGGACGTTAGAAATGACAATACTTTGCGAATCAAAGATCCCATACAACAGCCACATTTAATTAGGGCAAATTTACTACAATGCACAAATGAGACAAACAAGGCACAAAAACTACAAACTGTTGGTGATAAATCAATATTAAACCAAGAATATAAACAGCAAGTGATATATAAGACAATTTTCCACACAAAAGTAAACCAGAATCATGGTGAAACATTTGTCAGCACAAGAACTTTTTGCAATAGAGATCACTGGGTAAGCAACACGGAAGAGAAACATGGCTTTGAGGATAGAGCATCCACTTTAGGAAGAGTAAGGTCAGGAGGAAAGACTCTTCTTGAATTGCAGTTAACCAGAAACATTTCAAAGTCAGACTCCAATCTTATTACCTGTTCACCCATTGAGGAAGAATCGAGAGGGAGTCGCTATGAATCTGTCGCAAACTACTTTAAAGAAAACAAACAGTGCACTGGAAAATGTCTAGAACGCACACCTTCTTTCACAGCAGAATGGGAGGAGGTAAGAGTTATAACAAACACCATCTGTTTAAATGATGGGTGTGGGTGTTTCAGTAATTTTATGGAGCTTAAATGATGATTTGTATGGGGAGGGGAGAAGAATTCTGTAAATTTTAAAGCACTGACAAAAAGCTTAAATTAATTAGTGAGTTATGTATAATTCCTTGAAAAACCAGTGAGGTGAACTAAAATCTAAGTTGTGTTAGTCATCGACTGAGCTTTACTTTATTGGGAGTCATCTTGAAAAATCTATCTTCATAGACTGTAGAAGTCATTGTAAATAAACATAAGCAAGTATAGAAATGAGAATGTTTCACTTCTTAACAATAATTTATAAAATATACTCTGGGCTCAAATTATTGGCCCACGTTATGTTTCTTTATCAAAGGTGGAATCCAAGAAGCTGGATGAAATTCCATATTGCTATCTCCCACATCCATCTCTTTATCAACAGCAGATTGACCTTTTTTCAATGCCCTGATTCCAGGAATCCTCAGATCCACTCCGCCAACTGCAGACCTTACAGAACTTTGCAGCCTATACTCCCGCACTATAATCTATGAGCCCATATCTATCCTTGCCGAGTTCCACTAACTCTATCCCCCAGCAGATCAACTTTATGAGTCCTTCCTTACCTTCAAATTCTTCACCCACCTTACACCACCCTATCTCTGCTACCCATCTCCCACAACCAGTATCTTTGCTCCACCAACTCTGGCCAGCTTCATGCTCTCCACTGCATCATCAGTACATGAGCCTTTAGACACTCTGCCCCCTCCCTTTAGAACTATCTCCCAAATTCAATTTCCCACGTAGAAAATTGGCAAGTGGGTAACTGGCATTAAATTGGTAAAAAGTTCACGTTAAGACAATGTTGCTTCACTCTCATCTGGCCACACTATATCTGAACAAATTGTACCTGACGTTACACTGGAAAACAAGGGGTAACATTTTTCCCAAACTGACCTTTTTTTATCACACTATTTCATCAAGTCTTACGACTGCCAAATAATAATGTTTGATAAATTGTTTTATTGATAACTTTTGAAGAATTTATTCCAGTTTCACTGAGTGAAAATTTTTAAATGTGATATAACTATGTGTTTCAATATTATGCAATTGCTTTATTAAACTAGAAACTGTACTGGTAAATTTGGGATCATACTTATAGTGTTATTTTATGTACTTGTGGTTTCATCTGAGGATTGATATATTTTTGCTTTCCTGCAAGGTAAGCTGAATGTTTTATATATATATATATATATGACATTATATATATAATATATATATGTGTTTATATAAATACAATGCGTGTGTAGATATAAATACAATCCTAATGTTGCCATTGCTTCTCAAGAGGTTCAGTACAGCAATGTGTTCCATTCTATCCAGAAATAAAAATAACAATGCAATTGATGCAGTGCTTTATACAGGGTGACCAAAAAGTCATGAAGCTACCAACAACAACAACAACTTGGATTTATATAGCGCCCTCCACGCTGGATGGCGTCTCAGAGCGCTTTACAGTAATAGATCCCGGGACCGAGCCAGGGGGAGGGGGAGGAGCCAGGGGAGTGGAAGGAGCCAGGGGGAGGGGGGGGAAGGTGACCAAAGGCGCGGTCGAAAAGAAAGGTCTTCAGCAGAGACTTGAAAATGGGAAGGGAGGGAGCGAGACGAAGGGAGTGAGGAAGACGGTTTCAGAGCCTCGGGGCATAGTGGCTGAAGGCATTGCCGCCGAAGGTGGAGCGGAGGACTCGGGGGACAAGGAGGAGGACAGACCCGGAGGAATGAAGGCAACGGGTACTGTGCTGAGGAGAGAGGAGGTCAGAGAGGTAGGGGGGTGCAGAGGAGTGCAGGGACTTGAATACGAGGGTTAGGATCTTGAAATCGATCCTTTTTGGGATAGGCAGCCAGTGCAGCCCGGCAAGGACCGGGGTGATTGGGGAGCGGGGTTTTGTGCGGGTGAGAATGCGTGCGGCAGAGTTCTGAATGAGTTGGATTTTATGGATGGTAGTGGATGGGAGACCGGCGAGGAGGGCGTTGGAGTAGTCCAGCCGAGAGGTGACAAAGGCATGGACCACGGTTTCAGCGGCTGTTGCGGGGAGGTATTGGTGGAGACGGGCGATGCGTCGGAGGTGGAAGAAAGCGGTGCTGGTGAGGGACCGGATGTGGAGGAGGAAGGATAATTGGGGGTCGAACCTGACGCCTAGGTTGCGTACGGGTTCGGAGCGTTTTAGGGGGAAGTTGGGTAGGTGGAGGAGGTGAGAAACATGAGATATTCGACATTGACGAGAGCCGAAGAGTATGGCTTCCATCTTGTCAATGTTCAGCTGAATGAAGTTTGCGCTCATCCAGCCCCTGAAATCTGACAGGCAGTCGGACAGAACATCAGGGGACTGGGGGTCGCAAAGAGAGGTGGAAAAGTAGAGTTGGGTGTCATCTGCATACATGTCTGCAGATGACATCCTCAAGAGGGAGCATGTAGATCAGAAAGAGGAGGGGGCCAAAGATGGATCCTTGGGGTAACCCGCAGGTGACCAGGTGAGAGCGGGAGGAGAAGCCATTTATGCAGATGTACTGCTGGCGGTTTGTGAGGTAGGACTCGAACCAGGCGAGTGTGATCCCACTGAGGGATAACGGAGGAAAGGCGGTGGAGGAGGATGGTGTGATCAGCTGTGTCGAACTCGGCGGAGATTTCCAGGAGGACAAGGAGGCAGTGGGAGCTCTGGTCACAGATAGAGAGGATGTCGTTTGTGACCTTCACAAGCGCAGTCTCTGTACTGTGGGCAGGGCAGAAACCGGACTGGAGGGGTTCAATAGGGAGTGAGAGGAGAGGTGTGTGTGAAGTTGGTTTGCAACAACGCGTTCTAAAACTTTTGAGAGGAAGGGCAAGTTAGAAATAGGGCAGTAATGGCTGGGGTTTGCGGGCTTTTTCAGGAGGGGGTTGATGACAGCAGTTTTGAGGGAGGCAGGGACTGATCTGGAGGAGGGACTGGTTGATGGTGTCAGAGGAGGAGGAGCTATATTGGTAAGTTGGTGGGGAGGGGGTCGAGGCAGCAGGTGGTGGGTTTCATGGAGGTGATGGTGGGTGAGAGGGAGGAGGGAGGGATGGGGAGGAAAGAGTAGAAAGGGGATGGTGGTAGGAGCAGATGATGAGGAAGGTGAGGGGGGCAGAGAGGGCGTGGTGGTGGGTGACAGGGGGCAGGTGGATGAGGCTGCCTGGCGGATGTTCAGTATTTTAGTTGAAAAGAAGTCCATGACCTCCTCACACTTGGCATTTGATACGAAGATTGTGGAGGCCTGAGGGGGGACACGGAGGAGATAGTGGGTGGTGGAAAAAAGGATTTTGAGGTTGTGTTTGGCCTCCAAGATGATGTTGGAGTAGAAGGCCGTTTTTGTGCGTGTCAAAGAACGGCCGTAGCTGTGGAGATGCTCAAGCCACAGTTGGCGGTGAACTGTCAGGCCAGTTTTCCACCATCTGCGCTCAAGCAGACGGGTTTGGGTTTTTTGGAGGCGGAGATGGTTGTTGTACCAGGGGGATCGGGTGCGTTTGGAGATGGTCCTGGATTTTAGGGGATGAGGGCGTTGAAAGTGGAGGAGAGGTGATCACGGAGCAGCTGGACGGCTGCTTCAGGATCTCCGCGGGTGGAAGGCCAGACGGATAGGATGTTTGAAGATGAGAGGGCCTTTGTAAGGGTCTCAGGGTGTAGCCTTTTCCTTGTGAGTCTTGTGAGGGTCTCAGGGTAGCTACCCTAATTATCTAAAAAAAATCTTTTTTTAAGACTTATTAGACATTGTAATGGTTTCACGACTTTTTGGTCAACAAAGTGTATTGCATGTTGTTACCTCTTATCGGTGAATGCGATAGCTAATCTGTACCATCATCCCATCAATTGCAATGATATGAGAGCTCAATTTATCTGTTTTTGTAGCAAACATAATAATCCTTGCATTTGATATAGTGCTTTTCACGTCTTCTAGACATCTCAAAGCGCTTCATAGAATAATAATAATAATAATAATAATCCTTGCATTTGATATAGCGCTTTTCACGTCGGGAGGACGTCCCAAAGCGCTTCACAGAACACACTGTAAAGTGAATTGACTGTATATTTGTGGGCGAAACGTGGCAACCAATTGCGCACAGTAGTGTCCCACAAACAGTCGTGGATTGAAAATGACCAATTTATTATTGTTTTTGTTTTTGGAGGGATTATTATTAGATTATTAGACTATTATTAGTGTGGAGTAAAGAAACTTGCCCGAGGTTTTGCCCTGCCTGGAATTGAACCCAGGTGTCTCGCTTGCAAGGCGAGTGCTCTTAACCACTGAGCTACAGGACTCCACATGGATATGGATGATGAAATATTTTTGGCTAAGACATAGGATTGGTGTACACTTGTTCTTTTTCAAAATAATACCATGGATTTTTAATATCTACCTGAATCACCAAAATTGGCTGCTGAGACCTCACTTTAATGCTTCATCTGTAAGAGGCACCTCTGACAAAACAGATTATCAGATCATTGTGGGTCTTAAACCTTTAACCTTCTAATTTTGGGTGATATTGCTAGCAAGTTAACCAAACTGACCACTACAATCTAGTTGATGGAGTTCTCTCCATATGCGGCTGGCATTGCAGCATATCCGGCTCGTAATTAGTTTCTTTTGCCCTCCCCACCCTGGATCTAAGATAAAATCTTATTCCACTGTAACATATTTCATCCAATGGATGGGCTCAGAAATGTTACAACTTAACCAAAACAACAACAACAAAATTACATTTATAGAGCACCTTTCACGTCGGGAGGATGTCTCAAGGCGCTGGACAGTCAGGGGTCAGGACCTGAGTATGGGGGAGGGGTCAGGTCAGGGTGAGGGAAGGCAGAGAGGTGGGATGGCGACTGAAGGCACGATCGAAGAGGAAGGTCTTGAGATCGGCCTTGAAGGAGGCAAGGGAGGAATCGAGGCGAAGGGATTGTGGGATGGAGTTCCAGAGTGTGGGGCAGAGAGGCAGGTTGGTAAGCAGGTCAGAGAGGTAGGAGGGGGCAAGGCCATGAAAATGAGGACTAGGATCTTGAATTCGATTCTCTAAGGGATAAAGAGGCCTTTGCCTCTGTAGCTGGACACTACTTTGGATAGGATTACTCAGTGAAGCTGTGGTTCAGTGATTAATAGTGCTTACCGTGTTCTTGCAGATTGATAAAATCATGAGCTCTATAGGAGCTGGAATCAATACTGGACTGAAAGAAAAGCATGAACCCGCTTCAGGTAAGGAACAAAATTGTAACTTAGACCAATTACCTTCCATTAAATTCATGTAAGTTCTTCTGGCTGATGAGTCTTCTTTAGAAGTCTCCTCAGGAAGCTGCTGTTTATATAAACCCATCATTCAATTGCATGCTTTTTCTTCTTGGGTGTTTATAAGGAGACATAATCAGAAGCAAAGTTTAGTTGGCTTAGGTTTCTTTTTTTCATGTAACTGCATTGTTGATGTAATTAGCACAAAAAAGTTGATTTGCTTTATAGTTGTTCCATTATTTCTCAGTATATAAAATGACCACGACCCCTTTTTAATGATGGAACCAAGTGTAAAAATCAATGCCAGGTTAATGACCTCACAGATTTCAGTGTGATATGTATTTCCTGTGTGTTGTATACAAATGTATACAAAATTACATTTGTATAGCACCTTTCACGTCAGGAAGACTTCCCAAGGCGTTGGACAACCAGTGTTTTGTACCTGAGCTGGGGTTTGGGATCGGGGAGGGTGGAGGGCAGGGGGCAGAAGCAGGGTGATCGAAGGCACGGTCAAAGAGGAGGGTCTTGAGACGGTCTTGAAGGAGGCAAAGGAGGCAGAGGGACTGCGGGATGGAGTTCAGAGGGTGGGGGTAGAGTGGCTAAAGGCCCGCCTGCCAATGGTGGGGCGGGTGAGGCGGGGGACGTGAACCAGGCAAGAGCCCACTGAGTGGAGGGAGCGGCAGGTTGGTAGGGGGTTAGAAGGTCGCAGAGGTAGTGGGGAGCAAGGCCATGGAGGGCTTTGAAACTGAGGACCAGGAGTCGGGCGAGGATGGGGATGATAGGGTCATAGATCCTGGTGCAGGAAAGCACATGGGCTGCAAAGTCCTTGGATGGTGATGCTGTCAGCGCCTGAGGTGTGGAGGCGCTGACATGAGCCAATCAGGAGGGCCTCAGTCTTGTTGACGTTCAACTGTAGAAAGTTAGCTCTCATCCAGGATTTGATGTCTAACAGAAGTCCTGAAGTTGAGGGTGGAGGCAGCGAGTTGGGTGTCATCTGCATACATGTGAAAGTTGACCTCATGTCTGCAGATGATGTCACCAAGAGGGAGCGTATAGATATTGAAGAGGAGGGGACCAAGGACAGAGCCCTGAGGAACGCCACATGAAATGGTGTGGGGGCTAGAGGAGAAACAGTTTGTGGAGATGAAGTGGAGACTATGTGAGAGGTAGGATCTGAACCATTCAAGGACAGAACCAAGAAGGTTGAGGTGAGAGGAGAGGCGATGGAGGAGGATAGAGTGGTCAATGGTATCAAAGGCAACAGAGAGGTCAAGGAGGATGAGGAGGCATAGGGAGCTCTGGTTGCAGATGGACAAAATGCCATTTGTCGCTTTACCAAAGCTGGCTCTGTGCTTTGGGCGTTGCGGAAACCCGATTGTAGGGGTTCGTGAAGGGAGTGGCGGAAGAGGAAGGAGTGAACCTGGGAAGCAATGACTTGTTCCAGGACCTTGGAAAGGAAAGGGAGGTTGAAGACCGGGTGGTTATTTGAGAGCAAGGATAGGTCGAGGGAGGGTTTTTTAAGCATAGGAGTGATGATGGCCATTTTTAAAGGGGTGGGAATGGTACCAGTGGGCAGGGAGGGGTTTATGATGGTTTACTGCTCTTAAAAGTTTGTGTTTTAGCTGAATGCTTTGAACTGTGATATTGTTTGAAGATGTCATTCAGGACTGGTGTTTGAGTGTGCATGTAGGAGGAAGCAATAGAACTTACATCAAGCAGGCTACAGAATTTTGAACGCTGGTATTTTCTGCATTTGTTTTAGCTGAACTCATCATTCAAGGTTGGCGTGTGTATGTGTGTGTAGGAGGAAACAGCATCTGCATCAGCGTCAGATTTACAGCTAACAGACAAAGAAATCTGTTTTCTGATGGCCTTTATAGAGACTGTGAGGTGTAGCCTGGGCTGGGCAATGAACAGGAGGGGGGGAGTTTGGAGCATGGTATGGCATACTGATGAGTGTAGGAGTACTTGATAAAAAGAATCCTAGCTGCAGGCAGAGCAGTGCTTACCGTGGAGAACTGCGACATTCACACGTTCAGGGACCAGCAGTAACTGCCTGCTCTTGATATCTTCACTGTCTGATATGATGGTCTTTAGACAGAGTACGATGTATATGCACACCACAGTGTGCTGGACTCATATCTGGTTCTAAAATCTGCTGCCTGCAAGAAGTGCTCTAGCATTTAGTCAAGCTACAGAGAATACAGAGAATACCACAAAAGCTATCAAGCTGGCAGGCTCATTCGACAGTCACATTCCGAGGAACACGATGTGGCAATGCCACCTCTCGACCTCGGAATGCCCCTATTATCGGATTGATGGCATGTCATTACTGAAACGGCTTCCCCTTCAACCTCTTACAGGACCCAGAGTTGTATTTCAGACTGTGGGACGATGGTTAGAAAGCATAGGTCTCCCCCAATATGAGAACCACCTGCTGGCAAATGGATTTGACAACATCCAATTCATGGTAAGTTTCCTTGTATTTTATTTTTGTGCATGAATAGTTGATGTTTCCTCAAACCTAATCTACTTCTTATCACGGTACCCTCTTTCTTCTTTTTCACTGTCCAGCTAAAATAGGACCTGAATCCTTTCATACTGTTGCCTCAGCAACTGTGAGACTTGTGTAGCCCATTAAATGCGATGTTATAAAGCTCTAAATAGCAATTCAAATAGGATAGAAGGAGGCATCAGTCTAGTTGTAATTAACTAGATAGAATTATCAGTTTCCATTGAGGCATAATTGATATATATGCCTGTGCACTGGAACATGAAAGCACTGGCTGGATCTTAAGGCTTTTTATGTGTAAGTGCATATGTTTTGCAACAATGTATCATGCATTCTACTCCTGAGTGCTGGAACAACAGTATTTATTGGTTTCTCTTGAAAGATTATCTTCTTTTGTAGGAAATTAATGAAATTAATGTCATGTTTGACACTGTCCTGATCAGTTCAGGAAAGTTGCAAATGAACAAGGTGAAAACGTCTGCACAAAAGATGTAGGAAAAGTATTCAAATGCCGACATTAAGCTAAAAGCTGATTTTGAATGCCAAAAGTTATTTTCAAAGTTTACTGTAACAGCTTTGTAATTTTTGTCCTGTGTGCTCACGGAAAAAAAAAAGTTGATGTAAGAATCAAACTTGGAGAACCATTCCAATTCATATTTAAACAAAGTAGAAGTAACCTGTCTTTAGCTCCAGCAGGAGACTATCTCAATTTAGTTGGAAGTGGAGGAGCATTAACTTCTATCCTACCTGATTTGCAAATGAACATCTCTCGTTTCTTTTCACTAGGCAGCTAGTTGAAATAAGTGGTGACTTCTTGCGAGCGAGAAAGCAATTATTGTAGTTACTAAGAGACCTTCTATAATTAGCTGTTTTTCCAGGGAAATGCCAATCACTGATAGAATGCTGACAGTATAGCCCCCTCCCACACACATACACACGCTAAAATGCAACATGAATTGATTTTTAAAATGAGTTGAGGAATGGTATTGATCCAAATTGTATGTTTTTCTTTTATTCATTTCTCTTGTTAATGTAGATTTATAATTTTACAGAATTTGCAAGGTGTTACATAACTGCATAACACCAGTAGGTTGTCTGTGGCTGGTATGCAAATAGCTGATATATTTTCCGAGGTTCTAAATTGTACTTTTTCGATCTATTGTCAATTTCAATTTTTGCTGGTTTACATGATTACAAATATCAATTGCAAGAATTATTATTATCAGTACATTTAGGTCAATAAACAAGGTGTTCCTAATTGTTTTCTGCTATATTGGTTAAAAATGATCCTGTACAAAGTGTTATACTTCAAGGTCGCCCCACCATTCCTTCTAGGTTATTCATAGCTGGTTGTCTTCAACAGTTATTGTGGAGTCCTGTAGCTTATTGGTTAGAGCACTCGCCTCGCGTGCGAGAGGACCTGGGTTCGATTCCCGGGCAGGGAGAAACGTTGGGCAAGTTTCCTTACTCTACACCTTTGTTTACCTAGTAGTAAGCAGGAACCGGTTGTTAGTTGATGGGTGGATCACTTTTCCGGGGGTAATAATTCCTTCAAAAAAATTAATTAATTTGGTCACTCAATCCACAACTGTTTGTGGGACATTGCTCTGCTCAATTGGATGCTGCCCACAAAATATACAGTCGATTCACTTTACAGTATATTCTGTGAAGCACAGAAGTGATAAGATGCTATATCAAATGCAAGGATTATTATTATTTGACATGTCTTTGTGAAGGAAAGTTTTCTATAACAGAGAAGGCATATGACAGAGAAATAGTCTGTTTTTCTTTTTTCTTTCCTTTTTGTCCTGAAGTTAATCATCTTTCTAAATTAAGAATAAATAACACAACTGATTAGAATTTGTTGAAATTAAATCATAACGCAAAATTCTACTCCCACACCAAAAAATCCTCAGAGTTCCTGCATTCTTCTTTAAAATGCGATAATAATGCTTTTCAGTGTTAAAGCGATTTGAAAACAATGATTCAATATCGCGTGCACATTAAAAGGCAGAGTTTGGGGGCTAGAGGACAAAGCAAAATTTCAAAAGATCTAACAGATACAACATTTTGAAGCACCTTAGACCTGGAAGAAACAAACCCCAGAAAACTGAGATGCAGCAGATGAGGGGAAACCATTCAGTGTATTGATTTATGTAGTATAATATTGTAATATACAATGTATATCAGAACATATCAACATCAGAGTAAAGGCACTATTCATTATCAAGACAATTTTTATTTCTCTTTCCACCATTCTGATAGAAGTGAACATTTGTGGCATAAATCTACTCTCCTATTCCGTGTCCATTTATTTTGAAGACTCACGTCTTATCTTGATATCTTACAAATGTGGTGTTACCATGGTAATGGGTCCTTGAAAGATACTTGGCAATGTTTGCAAATGAGGGAGGGGCCTAGTGGTGTGATCTGTGATGCAATTCGGCTTTCAGTCACCAATCACGTCTGTTTCTACAAATGTATTATCTTTATCACAGTTTAAGAAAAAAGTAATGGTAAGGGTTGCTCCGCAGTAGCTCTGAAAACATCTGAATTAAAGTGGAAAATGAATAAAAATCTCTTAACCTGAAGAATCATAAAATTAACAAATTCTGTTCCTGAACCTCAGCAAGGGACATAGTTTATGTTTTGGTTATAAGATGCATATTATGATGAATCACTGTGATTTTCATAGCAATTTGGCATGCAAACTCAATTTAAAATGATGGTTGAGCAGCCAGTCTGAAAGCAAATAGTGTTAGAGGAGATGATAGTTTTGGGGAGTACATTGATGTAGTATCGGACAGCTGTAACTCCAATGGCTTGCCTCAAAACTTTTCAGAGATACATTTTTTAATTTTTTTAAATATTGGAAGAGTCATTTATGTGACTATCAGTATATTATCAGTATAATTCACTCTTTTTTGTTCCTAGTTGCTCTCCTGGGCATTAAAAGGCATTATCACATCCTCTCGGCAAATATCCTGTTTTAGCTTTGTTTTTCTTTGTCTTTTTTAACTCTGATATTTATTTATTATTATAATTCACTAGATTAAATAAGAATGTACTTGCTTTCATGTATTAATTCATCCATAGTCATAGGCTTGTCTGCTCAATAATTTACAAATGACATAATAGACTTTAACTAAGCTTCACAAATACCTCTTTCCCCTCCACCCTTTGAAAATCCAGCTGCTCAAGTTCTCTCTATTCTGTAATATTCTTAGAATCCTAAATCTGAAAAGGTTTCAGTACTTTGACCTAAATATATAGTGCTTTAGAACCAATGGATAAAAACATCGCCGAGGTCATACAGACCAGAAGGTCACAAGGTCATTTGCTGATTTCTGCCAAAGCAGCACAATTGGTCTCAGCTCCCATGGGTTAGGAAAGGGAAAATATCTGCCATAGTTCCCATTCTTGCATGTTATCCAATAGATCTTGCTGGATCATACAAGTGTGTGGAAGTTGGATGAGGACAGATACAGATTTAACCATGATGCCCTCCCAAGTGAAATACAATACTGTCATTCACTGTATTGGCTCATATATTAAGAATGGCCACTTGATGCCCGTGGAACCCTAGTGAAGAATCAACATCTTCAGGAGAATAGAAGGAGGGATACTGTCAAAAGGGAAAAGCCCATGAAACCCAGGATGCAACACGTGAAGTTGTCTCTCAATTTAATTTTGACATTCATTCTGAAATAAATGTTTTGGGCTTATGGAATGTCATTTTTCTTTTATAATAATCCTTGCATTTGATATAGCGCTTTTCACGTCTTCTAGACGTCCCAAAGCACTTCACAGAATATACTGTAAAGTGAATTGACTGTATATTTGTGGGCGAACGCGGCAGCCAATTGCGCACAGCAATGTCCCACAAACAGTCGTGGATTGAAAATAACCAATTTTATTATTTTTTTTTGGAGGGATTATTATTAGGCGTGTGGAGTAAGGAAACTTGCCCAAGGTTTCGCACTGCCTGGAATTGAACTCAGGTCTCTTACTTGCAAAGCGAGTGCTCTAACCACTGAGCTACAGGACTTTTGGAACATTCACATTATGATTAAAGCTTAGCATTTTTAAGTAAACCCTAGCTATTTAGAAAATATGCTTTAGTAAGTTAACAACCAAAATAAAATAATCAGTGGGATGGAAGAATTCTCTCAGTGCTCATCTTAACCATGCTGGCCAATTTAAAGAAATTTTAACTTTTGAAACTATGGAAGAAAAATTGACAAGTTGATCAATGCTGGCAACTGTTTCAGGGAAGATGTCATCAATGAACTCCAGTAAATATTATTTTGGTTGTAAACTTACTGAAGCATATTTTCTAAGTATCTAACATTCTGAATGCCAGATAAATCAAAACTATGATTATTTTACTTAGTTATTATATTTTTACTTTTTTTTAGTAATTTCGCATTTTGAAGGAACCATTTCTTGTTCATTCTAACTTAGCCCAATTTATGCGTGGACATAGGTAATATCAATCCCTGTGGAGTGTGGTAAGAACTTGTCAATATGAGAAGAGCAAAGTGACAGACCAGTTATTCACTGCTCAGTGTCAATGTTACAGATTCAGAAAAGGACAAGTATTAACAGTTGTTACTTATGCAAATATCAATAATATTATGTATTTAATATAATTCAAGAAAGCAGGTGATTGTATGACTGTCAATCATTAGACTGGAGTAAATACATTAATGGTTGAACTCTTGTAATGTTTAAATTGCATTGCTCTGGGTCAAATCTGACTTCCAGCCTCACTGCATTTTGTGTTCTTGCTTGTGAAGCATTACAGGGGGAAAATCAGCCCTCTGCAGTTTTGTTTTTCATTCTGCAAGCATTGTATAAGGTGTATTAAAATGATTAGGGTAGGATTTAATCAGTATTTTCTTTAGATTTGACATTTAGGTAATACATCATGTAAAGTCAATAATCATTCCAATGTG